TGGTTCAAATCACATATGGATATGTAGGGACAATGCATAGGATATGTGTAACACTGCCATACTTCCTTTCTTGGAGGAGGGCATTTCTTTGGAATTATGAGTCTCATAACTTGCTGCAGGCAGTCTTTCTCCATTCTTTTGTCCTGACTCTGCTTGATTTTTTTTTTTGCACTCACCAAGATACAAGCCCATTGTATTTGGATATACAGAGTTGGACTATCAGTGCTCTGGTTTTACTTGGGAACATCTTTGGTGTTTAGCCAACTTCTCTGAGTTGATTCTCAGGACTGACTTTAGGAAGATGCTTGAGGGTAAATGATCTCTACTTCCTCAAAGTCAGAGAGGTTTGGATTACTAAAAATCTTGGAGGAGACAGTCTGATGTTCACTCAGAGGTGGAGGGATATAGCCCATCAGGGACCTCTGGGCTAACCTGAACGTTCTCAAGAAGCACCAAGACTCCTGTGCAGAAAGGGAAAGAGAAAATGTAGGTCTGAATGTTTCACAGGAAGGCATCGTAGTTCTAGCATCTGCCCAGTCACATGCTGCATGGAGGTACATGCCATGATCCCTTGAAGGGTTTCCTCAGTCTACAACAGAGGCTAGCTGAGTTTCAGACCCTAAGAAAAATTCTCCACTCCCACAGCCTGGGGTGTTGTATGTGAACTCTACTAAAAATCGGAGCAGAAAACTACCTATCCGTCTTTTCATGATTCAAAACAAAATTCAAATGCTTTACATCATATGGCCTCCACTTTACCTTTCGCAGTCACTTAGCTGCAGTTTCAAGTTTAGGTGGGTGATAATTTTATTTTTTAATTTGCCTGTTTTCAAACCCAGTTTGTCAAATCTTGTAATAATCCCTGCTTGAGAGCATTGCTTTCAATTATGGTTTAATTGGTAAAGGACTGTAGCAAAATCAAAACTTTTATAATTAAAACGATCATAAACCCACTAGAATCTACTTTTCTATTACTTCAATTTTTTCTTATTTCCCTTTAAATGTGTGTATAATATATGCTTTCATATTACAATCTTGGTTATAAATTTCTGTTCTTTTCATTTTTCATAAAATTTGTCTGTGAGTCTACTTTATCTCCAAACCCAATTTTTGTAAGCTAGTGAACCAACTACAATAGTATGATCTAATTTTTATAAATCTTGCATATTTACATAGAAAAAATTTGCCGTGGTAAACTGCCTGATAAGACTTGGGATGGCTTTCCATTTTGTTTTGTATTTTTCTTATTATTATTTATTATCTTATTGTACCATCATTTTTTTTCAAAATATACAAAGCCATTTTGTAATATGAATTCAAATCTCTTGACTATTTTGGACGTGAATGTTCATATCCATTCAGACTATGTAGACTGATGATAACTGTATTGGTTTTTATATATCTGACTCCAGGTAACTAGGAAACTAGGACTAGGCTGCAGACTTGGAGAGCCTGTGTACGTCCTGAGTTTTAACTTTAAAGAATGAGAGTTTATGTCTGACCCAACCTGAAAAAGAGACCATGCATTACCATGCATAGATAGAATTTAGAAGTCACAGATGAATGAAAGATGCTATCCTTAACTTGTATACAGTAATGGATTCTCTTTTACAGTTTGACTTATTTTTAAATTACTCCAGGGGAAAAAAGAAAACAATCAAAATAATGCAAGGTGAGTAGAAGCTACCGTGCCTTTGTCCCCCAGGGAAGCAGCTCTATTCCTCATCTTGTTAGATGCATATATTTAGTTCGCGCTCTGTGATTGTAATAAGCCATGTTGGGCAGTTTTTTCTCAACTCCTGTGAAGTTTTCTGATGATGACAGGTGCCCATGATAAAAGTTAGTTGTATCAATTCCATTTTTCTTTTAAAAACCTGAAATGTGGCCTGGAGAGATGGTTGAGGTTAAGTGGCTGCTCTTGCAGAGGACCTGGGTTCTGTTCCTGACACCTTCTTCTGTCCTCCTCGGGCCATGGCATTACATGCAAGTGGTGCACTTACATACATTCAGGTAAAACATATAAACACACAAAAATAAAAATAAGGGGCTAGAGAGACAGCCCAGCAGTTAAGAGCACTGGGTGCTCTTGCAGGGGACCAGGGATCAATTCCCAGAACCCATGTGGTGGTTAACTACCATTGGTAACTCCAGTTCCAGGGGATCCGGTGTGCCTTCTGACCTCCGTGGGCATTACATGACAGGAGTGCACTTACATAAGGCAGGCAATAGACTCAGAACATAAAATAGAAATAATAAATACAATATTTAAAAATAAATTAATAAAAATACAAATAAATAAATTAAAAAACCCTAAAGTGTATCACTGATCAGTGGGAGAAGCATTTTGGCAGAGCTGTGCAAACAGATCACTAATTCCATTTCATTTGGAATGATTTCTCACTGTTTTTCTTGATATTCTTCAGCTTTTCAAGTGTAAAATGTGATCTGATATATACCGCCCCATTTGGTCTTCACTTGATCCTTATCTACAGATAAGTGGCCAAGACTCAGAATTTCAGGATCTCATAGTCCATGCCTCTGGTTGAAGGCTGGGACTGGCTCCTTCCCTTCCCTTCTTTGCTTTCACTCACTGTGACTACGTAGAACCTCACCTTTGGGGTTCTAGCATCTTGTTAAGCATCTTACTATGAAGCAAAGACAATGCCTTGGTAACTCTGACTTACACTGAGAACTGCCATTAGTTTGAATATTCCTGTCCTCGCACTTGTCTCTTTCTCTCTGCTAGGAGAAACTTAGTGTGACCCGCATGAGCAAGCAGATCATGGGTTAATGCTCCAAGAAAATTTTGCCATGTCTGCTTTTCCTCTTTCTTTGCTAGAGTCAATAGACTTGGGAAAACAGATGCTGACATTCCAGCTCCTGGTTTAAAGAATTAAGTCAAGCAAAGTATTCTCTTGACCAACATCTCCTGCTCATTTTTGTGAAACAGACACTCTTGGCATAGCACTTCTTACTCAGTATTGTCAAAAGCAGGAAAAGGAGCATCACCAAGGTGGATGTTGCTTAGATTTATACCTATTTCAGTTTAGTGTTGCTCTCAGTTTGGGCTAGAGTTTCTTTTACCAATAGTGGATGGTGGTTATTGAAGATACTCATAACTGGTCAAAATGCTAAGAATAACTGATTGATGAATATATATATATATATCATCACTTCCAAGGCTCAGGGAACATTGGGGACAGAGTAAGTGGGAAGAAAATAAGAACAGGTGGAAGGGGTGCAGTGCTGTGGAACAGCTTTACAAGCACGCGTGGCTGTTGCACTTGTGGACTTTCACTAGCTGTGATTACCTGAGAAAGATCTGCGCAAATTTGGGCCCTTCAGGGGCTAATGAGGATCCAGCTCTCTCTGAGGATCTGTAGGCAGTTAACTGTTAGTGGCAGAGACTCACAACTCTCCCTCTCTCCCTGGGGCCTCTAGTCAGCTAATGGGTCCCAGAGAAAGGAAAAGATATTGTCTTCAGTGGTGTAGCCACTGGCAAGGGGCCCATGCTACTGAAAGAAACCTGTCATTCACACTCCTATAAGATCATTGGGTCACACACAAACAAGGCATGAAAGAACAGGGCACTAGTTGAAAAGATGAAGAGGATCAGAGGGAGTAGGAAGGGTATAAAAGAGGTTAATGAAGTGTGAACATGATCAAAATACATCATATATGTGAATAAAATATCATTAAACCCATTCTTATGCATACTCAAAATATGCTAATAAAATCATACCTATTTTAATGTTTATTAACAATTATTACAGCTAAATCAGCAAAAGCTACATTTAAAATTTACTGTATTTAAATATACCAATGAGAGAATTGCACACAGATACAAGCTAAAGATCTACCAAAACATTTATACCTACTTGTTAGAGAATTTTGAACTAATTAAGTTACTTTGACTTTCAATTTCCCCCCTACCTGTGACAGGCATGTGGCACATCATTAGAGCCTTGAAGAGGCATGGTTATCACTAATAATTACATTAATTACTACTATTATCATAAGCATTTTGCCATTAAATATGAAGATAATGACTTTGAAATTCATAACATAAAAAGCCAAGTAATAATAATTATATTATTATCCAGTATTTTTCCTTTCTCAATTAAAAACCCAGAAGTCAATACTCACGTTCTTTACCACCATCCACATTTTTATTTCTTTCCTGTGATGGATCATGATAATTTGAGAAACTCGAATCTTTGATTCCTCACCTCTACTTATAGCCTTTCTATCTTTTAAATGTTTGCTGAACAATCTCTCCCATCCAAGTGCTTTTTAATATTTTATTTATTATTTTTAGTTTATGTGTATGTAAGTGCACCTGTGGTGTGCAGTGCCCACGGAGGTCAGAGAAGGTGTCAGATCCTCTGGAACTGGAGTTGTAGAAAGTTATTAGTCACCACGTGGGTGCTGGGAACGGAACCCAGATTCTTTGCAAGAGTAGCCAGTGCTCTTAACTACTGAACCATTTCTCCAGTCCCCTCCTATCCAAGCATTAACTAGGCCTGCTTGGCTTCTGAGATTAGATGAGATTGGGTGCATTCAGGATAGTATGACTGTAGAGTAAACAATCTCTAAAATGTTTTTTTTTTTTTAAAATGAATTAACCGATGTATAAACTTTAGTTTTTGTTTATTAGTATTATATATGTGAATGTGTGTATATGTGTGTAAGATGTGTGTGGGGGAACATACATGCCATGGCACATGTATGGAGAACTTTGTAGAGTCAGTTCTTTCCTTCCAACTTTACCTGTGTGTGCATGTGTATGTGAGTATAGGCAGCAGGCATGTAGAGGTCAGAGGGCAACTTTTTCTCTCCTTCCAATGTGAGTGGGGATTGAGCTCAGGTCATCAGGTTTAGATGCTTTTAACTGCTGAACAGCCTTGCTGGCTGTAAGTGAATTTCTTTAGTAAGTGATCAACTGTTGTGTTTCACACAGTTAGATGTGGTATTTTTTTTTTATGACAGGGACAAGTGGAATGGTGTTCAATATAGTTGAAACTGAAACTTCAGTTGAAGTCTTTGGGACCACACTCTACAACAATGAGCTTGCTCTCCATTGTGAAGTCAGCCTCAAGAAGCTGGGGACCTGGCTCCTGCCTCCACTATACTCCCTGGTGTTCATCATTGGCCTGCTGGGCAACGTGATGGTTGTGGTGATCCTCACAAAGTACAGGAGGCTCCGAATTATGACCAATATCTACCTGCTCAACTTGGCGATTTCTGACTTGCTCTTTCTCATCACGATTCCATTCTGGATTCACCATTCTGGATGGAATGATTGGGTTTTTGGCCATTACATGTGCAAACTCCTCTCTGGATTTTATTACCTGGCTTTGTATAGCGAGATCTTTTTTATCCTCGTGCTGACGATTGACAGGTACCTGGTCATTGTCCATGCTGTGTTTGCCCTTCGAACCCGGAAAGTGACACTTGCTGTCATCACTAGCATCGTCACCTGGGGCTTGGCAGGGCTGGCAGCCTTCCCTGAATTTGTCTTCCATGAGTACCAACATGATTATGGAGAGTCTGACTGCAGACCTCTTTATCCAGAGGGAGAGCAGGACAGATGGAAGCGTTTCCATGCTCTGAGAATGAACATCTTTGGTCTAGTTCTCCCGTTCCTCATTATGGCTTTCTGCTACTCAGGAATCATTAAAACTCTGCTGAGATGCCCCAATAAAAAAAAGTACAAGGCCATCCGGCTCATTTTCGTCATCATGGTAGTCTTTTTCATTTTCTGGACCCCATACAACCTGGTTCTCCTTCTCTCTGCTTTTTACACCAAGTTTTTTGATAACAGCTGTGAACAGAGCAAACATCTGGACCTGGTCTTGAAGGTGACCGAGGTGATCGCCTACACTCACTGCTGTGTCAACCCAGTCATCTATGGTTTTGTTGGAGAGAGGTTCCGGAAACATCTTCAGGTCTTTTACCAGAGGCATGTGGCAATCTACCTGGGAAAATGCATTCCATTTCGTCCTAGCACAAAAGTGGAAAGAACTAACTCTGCCTCGCTGGTAGCAAGGGAGATGGAAATGTTTGCGACACTGTAGTTCAGGCGCAGAAAACTGCCTGCAGATGGACTGGGAGATGAAGCCAATCAATCACAACCACCTAGGTATATGTCAATCATTTACAGTTCCATATAACACCGGAACTCTCAAACACCTCAGAACATACGTACAGATTGCAATATCTCCACGTGCACCAAAGTCATCACTACGAGCTAAAGGCTGGCCAGGCAACACATGAGCAATCGTGAAAACCACAGCTTGGTGCTAGTCTCTGAAGAGTTTCCTGTGCCTTAATGTACTTGGATGCTAGATTCTCCATGCAGTCACAAGCAGGGAACCTTACCTTCAGCCAGGTATGGACACCAGTGAACCATCTCACAAAAGACAGAACTCAATTACTGTATTTCCTAATCTTTTCTTTCTTTGCTTGATGAATGACTTTTATTTTTCTTCTTTTAATATTTATTTTTGGAAATGGATGAATACTCTTGCAAGAGGATGGAATGGCATATTTTGTCTAAATTTCCTTGGCAGTCAAATGAATTCCTTTTCACATCAAATGACCAAATTTCCCATAAGTGATTCCCATGAATGCATACTGTACTCCTGAATGCTAGTCTCTTATTGTAGTGTAGACTAAGGACTTCTGCACTGAGAAGCTCAGGTGTAAAGAGGAGATATGTAGGACTTCTGGGTGTACTGTGCAGCCCTAGTTCAGTGGCTCTGACTGGACATCACAAGCACCTTCATGGTGCACTAACAAACATGTATATGGATCCCACCCCACGGCTTCTGATTCAGCAGGTCTGGGTGATGCCTGAGTGTCTGTATCAACACCAAGGTCCCAATTGATGGTGATGCTGCTTGTTAGAAACCACACTTTTGGAACAACTGCTACAGCTAAAATACTCTAAAGACATTTTAACACTTCACAGGGTCAGAGGAAGTGTAGCCCACTCTTTGGAGTGCTGCGGTTGGCTGTCATCCTGGACAGTCTATAAGAGATACCAGCCCACCTGGAACACATTGGTGTAGTAGGAACTTATGATCTGGCAGCTTTATTCATCTGAGTTTTTCTTGTATGTGTGCATTTAATACCCTGCACCAAAGGCTGTGAGAGGCACATAGATGAAAGAGGCATGTGAACTATAGCCTAAGGAGAAAAAAAATCTTCTGAATGATGTAAAAATATTTCAAAAGAAGTAGACATGGCCTAGGTCCTCATTCCTTTCTCTTATCCTTATTCTAGGGGAAGAGAGTTCTCAGCTTTTGCCCAACTTGTGTTGTACTATGGCTTTTTCATAGATGATAGATAGATATATGGATGGATGGATGGATGGATAGATAGATAGATGAAAATAAATATAACATGATCATCCCATGGCTATTTTGGAGTGGAGATTTTCTTGGCCTGGTAGCCGTGGTCCCTAACTGAATGATATTTGGGTCTATGGTAATGGTCATGAATCTATTGATACTCCGGGGGTGGAGGGAAGAAGAAGAAGAAGGAAGAAGAAGAAGAAGAAGAAGAAGAAGAAGAAGAAGAAGAAGAAGAAGAAGGAGGAGGAGGAG